CCCACTTGCGCTTTGCATTAGCTGGAGGGAAACGGGCAAGCAGCGCCCGGCGCTGCCTTCATCCACAGCGGGGGCGTTTTCTGCTCTTTCCACCTCTGCATTCCCGAAAAGCGCTGCAAGAGCCCAGGGCTGGCCGGGGGGAAGAGGGGTTTGGCCAGGCTTCACTGCACAACCAGGCTGCCCTATTTCTGTGCCTCCCAGCCCACTGGTCTCATTCGCTCTGATTTCATCTGCCTCCAAAGCCGGAACCGGCTCCCATTTGTTTATATCTGTCTGGAGGGCTCAGGTAGTAAAAAGCACAATCATTTTCTTGCCTTTCTGTCTGTAACTGCAGCAAGCAGGGAAAAAAAACCCAAAACCCTTAAAGGGATTTTCTGACCTCAGTGGAGTCACTCGCCCTTCTTCTTGCCCTGGGGCTGTGGCAATTAAGGGGCCCCGAGGTTGGCTGGGTCTAGAAGTGAGAGGGGGCCCGGAGTAGATGCCGCTGCGGCCGCTCCCCCCGGCGCCCCCCTCCCAGCCCCGCACAGACCGGCACAAACAAAACCGGAGCCTCCCCGGGGGCAGGCCATGCTCTGGCGATGCGGTCGCCTTTGTCTCTCCTCCTCACTGTCTCCTGCTCCCTGGAAGGTGATGGGGTGAGAGCCAGTAATTGCTCTAAGTGGGATCAATAAATCAAGGTAATAGAATTGCATCTGCTGTTGCCATTTTGGGAACCACTTCCCTGCTCTCCGTTCCCTCCTTGGTTTTAAGGTGCTGCAGAGCACTGGAACAAGTCAGGCTCCTCCGTGCTCTCGCAGCAGCTCCAGCAGGGCCCAGGAGGGGACTCAGGTCCCTGCCCAGCCCTGGTGCTCTGGGTGCACATTCCCGGGGGCCGGGGGTCAAGCCGAGGAAGGCACCGTGTCCCTGTGGAGGTTACAGGCGTTTTACCCGATGCCAAGTGCAGAGCACTCTGAGGACCGCGGGCACCCCGTGGCGTGGGGACAGCACAGCTGGGCACAGCACAGCAGCCCTGAGGAGATGGAGCCGCTCCCGGGAGGGAAGCCGGGAGATTACTCTCATCTCACTTGCAGCCAGGCTCAGGCTCCAGAGATCCCTCCACCTCAAGGGTTTTGCCCTGGCTGCTTTTAATCCCTACTTAAAGTAAAACCTCGATGGACAAAGGCTGGATCGCAGCCTCCGACCCTCCGCGGGTGTGTGACAGCCCCGCAGCCTCTCGCTGCCCCATGGTGAGACATCTCCAGGCTCCCCCCGTGGCCCCCCGACCACAGCCGGGTGCGTCCGCTGCCCGGGGCGATCACCTGAACGGGGGTGGAGGCGAGCAGAGGGGCCCTGGCGCGCATAAAACTGGTCTAAACTCTGCCCAGTCAACCTTGTCCGACCCGCACGAGGGAACGAGTACCACGCACTCTCCGGATTAACGGGATCACGCGCTCCCCGAGCCCGGGCGGTACCGGGGCGGGAGCTGCTCCCTCGCCA